TCTAAGTGCCTCACCTCAGCATTGCTACGCACTTGTCATCTCTCACTTCTCACCTCTCAACTGGGCATCACCACCACGGGAACAACACTGCTCAGTGCTCGCGGGCGCCGCCGTCATTCATTGCCTGATCCTGGATGCGGCTGGCTTCGGCCTCGCATCCACCTACCTCGATGAACGACGTGGGATAACGACAACCGCCAGCTCCAGCGAATGCACGTCTTGCTCGGGTCCCAAGCTGGATCAGTCGGATTTCCAAGCAGGTTATTCATTACAATAGCCTTCGAAGCACCTGCGGCACGGTGTATGGCGATGACATCGCCCAGACACCGATACGTATCCCAACCCCCGAGAGAGCTCACCCCCGCACTTGGACCCCTCTTCGGCGGCCTGGAGCCGGTCCCCAAAGCTGAGCTTTCAGGTTCACCTCACCTCACTCGCTTTGAGTTGCCGGCGTCGTCCCCAAACTCACCTGCCATCTCAGCTCCCCGTCTCCAACGCCATTGCGTCAGACCAGAGGTTCAGCCATGTCGAGTCTGCAGTGGTTCACGACGAAAAAGAAATTTCGCTACTCCAATTCACACCAAGTACCAACTAAGCCTTCTTTTTACCAAAGAGCCGGCCCCGCCGATCGCAACGGTTCCTGAACCTTTGTCTGAACCAACCCTTTCCCATCGCTCCCCGTCTTGCTGGCTCGCGGCAATGTTTCGCCAAATCGGCGCCATGCGAGAACTGTCGAGTTGAGCATGGATTCTCCAGTGGACTCAACTCTGCCCCTGCTTCACCTAACGCTACTCTTGACGTAGCAGCAAGATGTCGTGGCCAACCTGTCTCGTCCGGGTTTCCTAATATCGACTCCCGGACGACTGCTTGAGATGCAAAATGCCACCTCTGGTCAGGTTGTTGGCGCCATAACTCTCAGAGAGGGTGCAACCCTCGCTCAGGACAGGGGATCCCGCCCCTCTCGGCCCTCATCTTTCCCACTCTGTCAGTGACAACTCTCCTCCCGCAACCCGGCCTCCATCTGGACCCCCATCAAGAATTGGATCCTGGGATCCGATCCCTTCAGCAACCACCTCCACTGCGACCCTACACACATTCGCATCGTCCGCAGCTGCCTCCAACGGCCGCTTCTAAGCGGTTCGTCGACGCGCCTTAACCCCCATTTCTTGACCTAGCCGTCCACTCGTTGGCAACCTTTTGATGAACTCGTGCGGCGTGGCCAAACACTCTCTGGGGTTCGGGAACCTGACTCGCAAACGAGCGTGGGTAGACGACGCCGACCCATGAACCCGAGATTTGCCTTGTGACACCCCGACGTCCAACGGGAGTTCACAGACTTGACCAGGCCGAGCCAAATACTCGGTCGTCTCACCTGCAGGAGAAGGGATTGGCAGGCACACATCGTCACCACGCGCCCTTATGACAGCATCGCGCACGGTTAGGGTAAACATCACGTAGGCATTGGGGGGCGCTTTAATACGGCTGGTAGTAGCCAAGACAGCAGCTCTGGTGCCATACGAAGCTTTCGGTTGCTCATTGTTTGCTGTTTGATTGCCGAGTTGGGCTTCGTCTGCATCGCAGGCGTGGGATGCTGCGGACACTGCTGACAGGAAGACGAGAGAACCTCCACTTGACTGGAGACGGGCCACACTCACCGCGTGCCGTGATCCATCATGAGGCCGGAGCATCGCCGAGGTCTCGGCCCTGACCATGAGCTTTTTTTCGGTCTTGAAACGTTCCTTCGGCGACTGGCTACCTTTCTATTACAGTTTTGCTTCTCTTCATCATGCTTCCTCAAATCTCCGATGGAGTCCCATTCGCCCGTCTGTGCTCCCCTACGTTATCTTTGCGGATCAGATCGTAGATCCACTGATAGGGAATCGGACGGTTGGGCGTTATCTCAAGCTATGACTGTCGCCGTCTCAAGCTCTACTTTGTTAGCCTCAAGAGCTAATTGACGAATTTGCGCTTCTAGCCCACTAGTCTAACCGGCCAACATGCCCTTTCCAGGCTGGCACCTTTGGCCTGTACCCCGCCAATCGGCCGTTCCCTGCAGATGGTAGGACGAAGCGGAGGGAATGAGGGGTTCTGTTGCTCGTCCCTGTGCAACTCAATGGCGAGGTAATCCTCAGTAACTGAGAGGAAGCATCTTCAACCTATCGCAGCCCTCCTTCTCGACCGATGCTGGTTCATGCATGACATCAACGACGAGGGAGAACAAACCCTGCGGTTTGTCCGTTTACCGCAGTAACCGACGCGCAAGTTCAACCCTTGTCCTGCTCAGATCAAGGCCACCAGACGGCGACGAGGGCGAGGGCGAGGACGACGTCGCCGCGCATGCAAGCTCAACCAACCCGAGACTTTACGGACATGCCGTTCGTCTCGGCACAGGCAATCCGTGCCGATGACTACTCATGACAGTGCATACACGGGACCCAGCTGTCCGGGCGCCGTCGATATCGTTGCCGCCGTCGTGCAAATTTGCACCGCGCTTGTCGCGTGCCTTTTTGCCGATCCAGGGTAAGACATCACAGCCCAAGCGGAGCCATGACGGGAACCTTGCAGCCGATATGAAGAACGTACGCCAAGTCAGTGAAGACCAAGAGTTCCCCGCTCTTATTTCTTGATGCCAACGACAACCATATTTCGCGGGCTCAACCCATAATCGAACACCGTCTCGACCCAGGCGTCCCGGACAACGTCCGCGTGCTCCTTGAGGAACAGCCAGCGGTCCGTGACAATGAGCGACTCGACCACGCACGCGCTGAAAGCCATCAGACTCCACACCGCGGCCACCTCCTTTTTGCGGGAGAGGTATTCGTCCTCGTAGCGCTTGATCTCTTCGTCGGACATGTCGGACATCTTCTCCTTGATGATGGCGCTGTACTGCCCGTACTCCCGGTTTGTGGTGAGCTTGGTGACGGCCCCACGGATGTAGTCGCCCAGCGAGCGGTAGCAGGCTTTGCGGAGGGAGCCGATGATGACGGGGTTTGTGCTCATGTTGAAGGGTGTCTCGGGGGTCTCGTCCGAGTCAGCGTCCGGATCGCGGTGGTAGACTTTGGATATGACGCCCTTGTCGAGGAAGATCTTTTGGAGGATTGCGCGGAAGAGATGGCGAGTGAAAAAGTCGTCACTCTCCTCTCGCGTCCAGTTCTGGGGTGCTTGGCACGCCATCATCCGCGCGGTGATGTTCATGCGGACCCCGCCGTCGTAGGTCGAGAGCTTCTCGCTCAGGGGGAAGCCCTCCGGGTCGAAGCGTGAGGATTCCCTGACGACGCGGCCGTTGAGGGCCTGCAGCGACGGGCGGGCGTAGGTGTACTTGAACGTCGGCGGGCCGAGTTTCTCTGTGAGAAGGTTGTAGCAGCAGCCGACGATGGCGACGGAGTGGATCGCCGGGTTCATGATGAGCGAGCGGATGCCGTAGTGTGAGAGGTTGCCGCACGAGTGGATCGAGACGGCCATCATCTTGAGCTCCTTGCTCTCCTCCTCCGGAAGGACCTCCTTCTCAATGCGCCCAATAACTTCCGTAAGGTCGCCGCTCTCCAGTCTGCCGACCACGTATGACACCGAGCCCTTTCCGATGGCGCGGTTGTACTGCGGTTCGAGCTCTTTGATGGGCCTAAAGTCAAAGTCTTCAACCGCATCCGTAGACGGCTTCGTGATCTTCTTGACGTTGTCGGTGCCGAACTTGTCGGCCTGCATCTGAGCCCAGAGCTTCTTGTTCCGCATGACGACTTCCTTGCCCGCCAGCCCGGACAGCACATCCAGCCCCTTTGCGCCGTCGATGTTGTGCTCGCGACCCTCCACGGCCACGACGTGCCTGTTGTAAGGGGGCAGGGCAAGGGTGCGGCCGAGATAGTTCTGCCCGCTGCCAAAGTCGACAAAGTGCGTCGTCTCCTTGTCCCACCGCTCCGCGATGGCACCGGCGAGGGAGTCGACGTACCGCGCGAAATGGGCGACCTCGTGCACCTTCTTGGGCTTCATGCCGACAGCGACGGAGCGGGAGAGCTTGGGCGGCGGCTTCGTCTCGGACTGCGAGGGTTTGAACTCGCGCGCGAGGGAGAAGCGGCGGATGTCGCGAACGTAGGCGAGGAAGCTCTCCGGCGGGGGAGGGTCCATCGCGGGGAGGTTGTCGAGGTCGTCCCTCATGAGCAGGTCGAGCAGGCGCATGGTGTCGTAGGCGAGCAGGAAGGGCTGCCATTCCTGGGGCAGGACCTGGTGGAAGAGGCCCGGGGTGTTTGTGAAGAAGTCAAGGACGTGAACGCCGCCGCAGAGGATCTGGAAGAGGTCCGTCTCCGTGACGAACTTGAGGAGGGCGGAGACGTAGGCCTCTGGCGAGGGGAACTCGTCTGAGCACGGGAGGGGCTTTTCTGGGATCATTTTGGATGGCTGTGACTCCCTCGATGCCTTTTCAGAGTTGCGGTCCTGTTGCGGCCTGTAGAATGTCTCGATCTATGAGACGCGGCCTAAGTGAGCGACCGAGTTATGAGTGAGTGTGTAAGTGAGTGACTGCGGAAATACGTCTGAAAATACATCCCACTTACTAAAAAAGAAAAGGGACCCCTCTATGGGGAAATTTTTCTCGGTGAAGGAGGGGTCGCTTTGGTGGGAGTTCTCGGTGAGCCTGATCCACACCCGAGCTCCTTCAGCCGAAGAATCCCCGGATGCAGTAGCTTGTCACTGCAGCGAAGTACCTCCAAGTACCCGACACCGAGTGGACACCTAAGGGGGGCCAGCCGGAAGCTTACTACCACCACCGTCCGCAGCAAGCAGCAGCGCAAGACAGACGCGCAAACGTCATCCCAGCCGCGTTTACCTAAAAGGTAAATTAACTACAGATCACCCATAACGCATACCCGGTGCACCTACTATTCGGCCACCAACGATTGGGCACCCGAAACAGACGCAAATCTTGACCGGCGCATCGATTGTTCCAACGACAATTGCACCCGCAAACCAATGCGTCCACGGATGCGCCTTTCCACACCCTCGTCGCCAGGATGATGTCCTCCGCCAACGAGGAGGATCCCTTCCTCCAAGTCCAGCAGTATGCGCATCCCCTTCCCTTTCAAATATCGCAACAAGTGAGGAGATATTCTCTAACCAACGATAAACTCGCAGAGATGTCCTCGCCCAGCTGGATTCCACCCGGCCCCTATTCACCTCCTACCTCCGCATCCGCTCCCTCTCCACGTCCCCGACGTCCCCCGAACTGGCCTCCGCCCGCTCCGACCTCGAATCCGCCCTCGAGTCCCTCGCCGAAGACCTCGCCGACCTAGTCGAGTCCGTCAAGGCCGTCGAGTCGGACCCGGCCTCCTTCGGCCTCTCCGCGTCCGAGGTCACCCGCCGCAAGAGGCTGGTCCAGGAGGTCGGCGGCGAGGTGGAGGACATGCGCGACGAGCTGGCCAAGAAGCTCGGCGAGGCCGCTTCATCGTCCGCAAAGGGCAAGGGAGCCTCGTCAGACCTGCCGGACCCGAGCTCCTTCGCGATACCCGACGGCGACGGCGGCGACGGGTACGCGGAGTTTGAGCAGCAGCAGCAGCTCGAGATGATGCGCCAGCAGGACACGCACCTCGACGGCGTGTTCCAGACGGTGGGGAACCTGAGGCGGCAGGCCGACGACATGGGTCGCGAGCTCGAGGAGCAGCGCGAGATGCTCGAGGTCGTCGACAGCGTCGCGGACCGCGTCGGGGGCAGGTTGCAGACGGGCGTGCAGAAGCTGAACTACGTCATGCGCCGGAACGAGGATCGGTTGAGCAGCTGCTGCATTGCGGTGCTCATCTTTGTGCTCATTCTGCTGCTCGTTTTGTTGTTGATCCTGTAGCGATCTCGAAATGGTTGTTCATGAGGCTTGTGTGAAAATGTGTAGGAACGAAAAGGAATGGGCAATCACCACATACATTTACAGGAAGGGCTAGGGAGTTAATACGGAGCGCTTGTCATTGTCTTTCTTTTTTTGGTCTAATAGTGTCTACTGCTGGGAAGGTCCTCAACAAGGATGAAGTATATCGTTGCATCCAACGAACGATACGCAATACCAAACTGCTTGTCTCCTCGCGCAAAGGCGTTATCGCTGTGCCAGCCCGTTCATGATGGACAAACGACTCGCCGTCGAGAGTCACGCTTTGCCGTATCTTAACTGTATGAGTGTTTTTTGTCCAGAACGCCTAAATGTATATGTGCCCCTTTTCCTGGTATCAGAAACCGGCCATCCTTGAATTGGTTACGTATAAGATTATGTTTTCTGTTCCCCTTCGTCGTACTACGACAAGTCCAAGCCGGAGTCTCTCCTCATGACGTCGGCGAGCACCTGCAGAGCCTGGGCTGCCGTGGCTCCAGCGGGAGCCTTTCCAGGAAACTCCACAAGTGCCAAGCGCAGGGCAGCGAGGGCAGCGTTTCCGTAGAAGTTGATAAACCGTTGCTGGTGGCCGTCGATCATGGACTTGAGCACGATGTACTGCGTGTTGGAGATGAGCTGCGGCGGCGAGTTGATTATCTGCGCCATGGCCCTCCAGTAGTTCGTCGGCGGGTATGGGTTTGTCTTGGACGCCTTGCTGAAGTCTCGCAGGGCGATAGCCGCGAAACCGGCGCCGAGACCCGTCATCCTGTCATTGTGCGCCTGCTCAGGAATCCAATTGCCGTCCTCTTTCTTCCAACCGATAGCCTGGCGGCCCGCTTGTGTCTTGTCGTTTCCCCTAGAACCAAATAAGACCGGGCAAGCCACACGGAACTTGGCGATCAGAATGTCAATCAGGGAGACGCCCCGCCAGTGATAATCCTTGTTGGAGAAAATTTGAGCCGTGACGATACCGACCGGCTCAGCGGACTTCGTGTTCGCGCCACCCTCGTTGGCGAACTGTCCTATAATTGCCTTTGAGAGGATGTTGAGAAGGTAGATAAACAGCGCCGGGAGCTGTTCGCCATTGTGGACAGCTCCTTCGACAGGTTCTCGATTTCGTAGAACATAGAGACTGACGTCTATCGGCGGCGACTGGACACTTGCGAGTGACTCACGCAGAGTGACGTTGATTGTGTTCATCTGAAATGATGTCAGTGTTTTGGCAGGGATAAAGGCAGCGGCATCCTTACAGGTACGGCGTTTGCTCCCTTGCCAGCGGTCAATTGCCCAATGGATTTCCTGATTTGTCGGCGCATGTCGCCGAGCTTGCCTTTCAGCGGCGATCCAGGCTGCTTCGATAGAGCCTCGACGTCCTTTCTCAGCTTCTTCAGAGCTTGGTGTATTTCGGCGTACCTATCGGCGTCTGCCGATTTCGCGGGTACCGCGGCAGCGGCGGGCTGCGCGGCGGGCTTCGGAGGCTCGACGGGTTTCGTCAGGAACCCATTGGCTTGGGCTGGCGCTGCGGTAGGTTCCTTCGCAAGTGTTGGTAAAGGTGCTGCCAGAGGAGTTTTTGCCGTCTGAAGCGCTGGCGCCGAAGCGTTTGCCACGGGGGTCGGCTGCAACCTTTGCGGTGCTGGAGCAGCAGTCTCGACCTTGACTGCTTGGCTGGTGGTGCCATTGACCTGGGGCTCTTGCTTCTTCGACGGTACGGCTTCAGGTTTGGGAGGTTCGGGTTCGGGCTCGGGAGGAAGCTGGGGTATCTGCTTTGCCTTGAGCTCTCTGAGCCTCTCCTGTTCGGCGCGGACAGCAGCCTCAGCCTTCAATCGCTCCTCCTCCTCCTTCTGAAGTTGTGCTATCCTGCGCTGCTCGGCCTCCAGCCGCTGCTTCTCCTCCTGCAATTGGTGGACCTCGTACACCCTGAGAGCAGCGAGTCGCACGCGCTCGTGTTCGAGCTGGGCTGCGGCGAGGGCATCGCGATGGCTCAGCTCTGAATTGCGGTTCTCCGACAGGAAGTCTGCGACAAACCCACGCTCAGGACTCTGCTTGACGTAGTCCTTGCTGTGGCTCCTCCGTGAAGGCGACGAGTGCGCCATGGTTGGTTGCACGCGGGTGCCAGACGTTGCTGGATGTGGCCGGGCCTACGGCATCGGGCGGTGGGGTCGGAACGCGTGGGAACCACGATGGCACCGGCGACGGGGAAACGAGTGAAAAAAATAAATAAACGATAAAACCCCCCAACAAGTCGGTCGAAACGAGTGACGTCCGCCGTGGCCGTTCGGTCGGGGGAGACAAGGCTCTCGGGCGATCTTTGGGAGTCCAGACGAGGCTGTGCTCCTTTGCGGCCTCGGGGTCCTTTGGAAGGGCTTGTCGGTTTGGGGTTGGCTACGTTCGGTGGTGGTGTGTCGTCAACTGGGCAAGGTCGAGACTGAGACCGTCGAGTTCAGGTTGGGTGCGCTGCGCGGGTGTGGAGCAGGGAAAAATAATACGATGTATCAGGCGCGCTTTGATGGTGTCCGCAGGTGGGAAGATGTTACCGTTCGCGGCGACTTGGGGCTCTTTCGGGGGGCGCTGGAAGCGACGACCCCTGCTGCACTGCTACCCTGTACCCGCGATGCAGCGTTTCTGCTCGCAGCTGTTCCCGTGGGGAGGAAGGGGAAGGGGGGCACAGAATAAAAAATAAAATAAAAATAAAAAGAGCCGCTGGCAGTCTGGACACAGAGTCAAACAGAAGACCAGAAAAGCAGAGACGTCGCCATGGTTGCAGTATTGGTGGGGCTAGTGCGGCTTGTTGAGCCTATAGTGGCTCTAGGCTCGAGCAGTTTTCAGTATAGCGTCCCCGCTGGTTGGTCGGACCGCGCATGGGTCTCTCCGTCCGCCCAAGGTGAAGTCGGGCACCTAAATACCTAGACCAGTCATGGTAGGTAGCTTTGAGTGCAGTGAAGACAGGTACATACTTCACAAGGAAGGGCCTGGAGCCCGAAGCTTGAAGCCTGAAGGTTTGGCTGCCAGACTCTCCTTGAGACCATGATGTGATGCAGTGTCTGAGGACTCAGGTTGACGGTATTGCCGGGCGGTGAAGGACTCGCGGGCCGTTCCAAGTTTCCCAGTCTGGTGCGGACTGAAGTTTGATTGTGGCCTGTCTCGCTTTGGCTTGCCCTGCTTGTGGCCCCGACAATGACAGAATAGTCCAGCGCCCAAGCAGACTGAGACTGGACAGATCGTCTGAGAGAGAGACGGGAGGATCTCCAACTCTGGGTTGGGGTGATGCCATTGAGGAGCGATGCTGTCCGGGAGGTACGTAGGTGGACTCCACAACGGTGCTGGGGGACTCAATCGTTCTTGTATCGTATTTCTGTCCCGCGGCCTGTCCAAGAGTCACGCGGTGTTCCGAGTCTTGAGTCCTGACGAAGCTCCTTGGCACCCCAGACTGGCTTTGCCAGGCAGGCTTGCCTGGTCTACCGATTCTCTCTACCAGTCCCATGCTTTTGATATCCACGGGAACGAACAACAAAAGGAGAGCAGCCATTTCGTCGCAGCGGACTGCGGCCGGCCTGTCATGTCGCTGCGCAGGTATCCATCTCTCAGAAACACGCTACATGTCTCTGTGGTCGACTCGTCTCCCCGTCTTCGTCGTGTGCCCTGCATCTGATTCTGGACCCAGAGATGGCCCCCGTATCTGTCTGCAGCAGGTGTCCAAAGAAGACGGGACGCCAAGGCACGTAGCAGGTCGCAGCCGCCGGCGGCGCTGACTGTTTCAATACCCTTAGCTGCGGTACATGACGGGACTTGGGGAAGCGTGCCGCTAGGCCTTCGGCTTCTGCCTTAGGAGGTGCTCTTGGTGCTGTAGCAAGACGTTAGGGCGACACGCTACGGCAAGGGACTGATCAGCAAAGTACCCAAAGTACCTCCCTCGAACCCGGGAGCCCTGACCTGGTCTTTCTTGCTCTGGCGTGCGGCGCGCGGCGTGGACTCTCCCCACTTCCGTCGAACTTGACTGGAGACCTGGAGACCTGACTTGAGTCCTGAACTCAACCCCAAGTCAGGCAAGGTACATATGTTGTCGGTAGCGCAGGAGGTAGCTTGGGGTTGGTTGTATTCGTTGTGACGGCTGCCGACTGCAGCTCTCTCCCCGTCGTTGTACGTAGGTGGTCGTGTCGGCATGCGGCAACTTCACGGCTGCCAGAACCAGCGCTGTGGCTCCGGGCTACGTTAGATGCAAATGCACAACAAAGTGCCACTGTGGACAGAAAGAAGGTACATACCTGACAGAGGATCAAGGTACCGAACGCTTCAACCATCCCATGCCTCGTTGCATGCGTAGGTCTCTCTCTACCTGATGTGAGGTGCTGAGGTACGCACCGCACTCTGTAGGGTCGCTTGCTTCATGACAGATAGACGGAGAACGGAGAATACCTTGTGTCCCTAAGCTAACCTAGGCAAAGGGGCAGACAGATAGACAGACAATCCAATGCCAGAGAGCTTACCTCACCACTTTCTCTAGCTGGTGCTGTGCCCCTCTCTCTGACTTCAACACTTGTAGCTGAGGTACCTACCTTAGCTAAGGTGCCTGCCAGGAGGAGGTACCTGATGCAAGACTGCCCGCACTGCACAACTGCAGCTCTCTGGAGCACCTAGGAGTCGAGGTACCTTACCTTTCCATCACCTTACCTTACCTCACCTCGCCTGCCCGCTGCCCACTCGCCTGGGGTCGCTGCTACTGCTGCTGCTGCTGCTCCTGCTCCTGCTTGTCCCCCTCCACCGTCGCCGTACCTAGTGTCCCTGCTCCTCCTCCTCCTCTCTACTCCACACCCCCGACCCGACTCGCCTTTCGCAACAAACCCCCCGTCAGTCTCGCTCGCCCAGAGAGGACATTCCCATCCTGCCTCGTCTTCTCTTCACGTCCGTCTGCCTCACCCGTTTTTCCCACCTCAACCATCACATCGCACACTCCTTGCGAGCTCCTTTCCCTTTCAACCTCGATCGTCGAGCCGACAATCGTCTCCCTCCTCTCCCAATCCATCCCATCACAATCCAATCCAATCCCTCTCTGATCATCAGACAAACAACCTACCCTCTTTGAATCGCTACGCAACGCCACACTACGCAACGCAACGCATTACGGATACCGTCCACCGCAGGACACTCCAAGACCAAAAACCCAAAACCACATCCATCCCAGTTCTCCACTGTCTTTAGTCCGCAAATACATACGTCAATACGTGCCACATCATCCCACACAGCTCTCCGAGCATCGACGCCAACGACCAAACGACCTTTATCCCACCCACCCGGCCTTCCTGCCCGTCGCTCCGTCCATACCTATCCGACGCACTCGACGTGCAATACAATACCATCATCAATCCTTCATCTGCCTGACTGCTCACCATGGAGCAGCAGCAGCAACAACAGCCCCAGCAGCAGCCGCCTGCGGGCGGCGTCCCAGGCCCTACCGGCCGCCGGCTTCACATTGCGCACAGGAGAAGCCCCTCCGAGCTGACTCCGTTGATGAGCATGTTTGCCAACCCGGGCAGTAAGTTCAATCCTGAATCACCTCCCAGCCTTCAATTCCATCTCCTGTCGAGCTTCTCGCTACCCCACCTTGCTCCTTGTCACCCCGTCGTCGTCATCATCATCATCATCATCATCATCATCATCATCACCGTGCTGACAATGTGTCTTCTCTGCAGTGGAACAGCTAGCTATCCAGCAGCAGATTGAGCTGTTGCAGCAACAGCAGCAACAGATCCAAGCTACTCAGCAATACATGAACATGGGAATGATGCCCCCCGCGCAGCAGCTCGGCCCAGGTGGTGCTTTCAACCTGCAGCCGGGGATGGCGCCGCAGGGCGGCTTCCAGTTCCCTCAACAGCTCCCACAGCAAAATGTATCTATGGGCGGTCCTCCCACGCAGCCCATGTCACATCGCCGTAATCAGTCGGCACTTCCCAACATGGGAATGGGCCCCCCTCCCGCCCCCTCCTCAGGTGCTTCCGGCTCGGCCTTTAACAACGATGCCGCCGCCGGTGCTCCCAGCGGCAGAGAAAACGCCGGTGGTCGCGGAGGCCGAGGTGGCGGCGCCGGAGGTGGCCATCAAAGACGTCACTCTCTTGCGCTCGCCGATGCGAAAAAGGCGGCTGAAATTGCCCAGCAGAAGCGCACAACGTCGGGTTTCCAATTCCCCGGCCCCGGCGCCTCTGGCGACGCTGCCGAGGGTGGCGCCCCCGCCCCCGCTCCGACCCAGCCCGAAGCCCCGATTGCTCAGGGCACCAGTGCTGGTCGTGGACGCGGAGGACATGGCCGCAGTCAGAGCATGGCTGTCAACGGCCGTGGAGGTGGCGCTTCTGGTGGTCGTGGCGGCTTCTCTGGTGATAACCAGAACGACTTCGGACGCCGCGGCAGCTCCGGTCACGCCAGAACCGGCTCTCGCAACTTTGACGGCAACTGGCGCAACCAGGGCGGGAATCAAGGCCAGGAGCAGGGTGGCTTCCAGCCTGGACACCGCTCTCGTGGTTCCATTAACCAGTCCATCTCTAGCATTGGCGCGTTCCAGTACCCCGGTCAGCCTCAGCTTATGCAGATGCCCGGCCAGATGCTTCCCATGCAGATGTACCCCGGTCAGCAGCTGAACCCCATGCAGATTCAGCAGCTCCAAGCTCTGCAGGCCCAGATGAACGGCCAGCAATTCGTCGGTCTTCAGGGTGGCCAGCACGGCGGTCAGCTCGGCGGCAACCAGCAGCAACAGCAGCAGAGAAAGACCCTCTTCACTCCTTACCTCCCCCAGGCCACTCTCCCGGCTCTTCTTGGCGATGGCCAGCTTGTGTCTGGTATCCTCCGCGTGAACAAGAAGAACCGCAGTGACGCCTATGTCTCCACCCAGGACGGTTTGCTCGATGCCGATATCTTTATTTGCGGTAGCAAGGATCGCAACCGTGCCCTTGAGGGTGACCTGGTTGCCGTCGAGCTGCTCGACGTTGACGAAGTATGGTCTCAGAAGCGCGAGAAGGAAGAGAAGAAGAAGCGCAAGGACATCACTGATACCCGGTCTGGATCGACCAATGGACAGAACCAGTCGTCCAACAACAATGACGACAACACCCAGCAGGAGGGCGGCATTCGCCGTCGCGGCAGTCTGCGCCAGCGCCCCACCCAGAAGAAGAACGACGATGTCGAGGTTGAGGGTCAGAGCCTGCTTCTCGTCGAGGAGGAGGAAATCAACGATGAGGCGAAGCCCCTGTATGCTGGACACATCGTCGCTGTTATTGAGCGTGTTGCTGGCCAGATGTTCTCGGGTACCCTTGGTCTGCTCCGTCCCAGCAGCCAGGCTACCAAGGAGAAGCAGGAGGCCGAGAGAGCCGCCAGAGATGGTGGCAACAACCGTCATCAAGACAACCGCTCCCAGGAGAAGCCCAAGATTGTTTGGTTCAAGCCTACCGACAAGCGCGTGCCGCTCATTGCCATTCCTACCGAGCAGGCCCCTCGCGACTTCGTCGAGAAGCACCAGGATTACGCGGATCGAATCTTTGTGGCTTGCATAAAGCGCTGGCCGATTACTTCTCTGCATCCTTTCGGTACCCTCGTCGAGCAGCTTGGCCGCATGGGCGACCTTAAGGTGGAGACCGACGCCCTGCTTCGCGACAATAACTTCTCCTCTGATGAGTTTTCTGAGGCTGTTCTGCGTAGCGTTGGCCTGCAGGATTGGTCTCTCGCCAAGGAGGATGAGACAGCCCTGGCAACTCGCCGTGACTTCCGTGATGAGAAGGCCGTTACTCTCGACCTCGATGGATCTCCCGAGCTTGCCAACGCCATCCACATCAAGACCCAGCCTGACGGCAAGATCGACATTGGTATTCACATTCCTGATGTCACTCACTTTGTCAAGCCCAACTCCCTGGTCGATCGCGAGGCCAAGAAGCGTGGCACGGCTGTTCACCTCGTCAACCGCACCTGCGCTCTCCTGCCCCCTAAGATCTTTGGCGAGGTTTGCTCATTGACCCCCGGTGAGGAGCGCCTCGCTGTCAGTGTGCTCTTCCGTGTCAACCCCCACACCGGCGCCGTTGCCGAGGGTGACGCCTGGGTTGGCAAGAGTATCATCAAGAGCACCGCCAAGATTACTGTGGACGAGATCGATGCTGCCTTGAACGGCCAGGCTGACTGGAAGCATGAGTCTATTCAGCTTAAGGATATTCAGATTCTCAACGTAAGTACACTTGAAGCTCATTTACTGGCCTAGATGCTAATATTGCATAGGCTGTTGCTCAAAAGTTCACTGAGGCCCGTCTTGGTGCGGGTGGCGAGCCTATTGCCCCTCTCCGCCTCATGCAACAGCTTGACGATGAGAACATCCCCATCAAGCACAACATCTTTGACTCGACCCCTGGCACCGAGCTTGTTGAGGAGCTTATGCACAAGGCCAACACCTTCGTTGCTCAGCGCTTGGCTGAGGCTCTTCCGGAGAAGGCATTGCTCCGCCGTCAAGGTCCGCCGAATGCCCGTCGTCTGCAGACCTTTGCTGATCGCATGAACTCGATCGGCTATGAGGTTGAGACTTCCGGCAGCGGCAGCCTGCACAACAGCCTCTTCAAGGTTGACGACGCCGATGTGCGCAAGGGAATGGAGACTCTTGTCCTCAAGTCGATGCAGCGCGCCAAGTACTTCATCGCTGGCAAGACGGCCAAGCAGCTGTGGCCTCACTTCGCTCTCAACTTGCCGCTCTACACTCACTTCACAAGCCCCACTCGGCGCTACGCCGATATCATCGTTCACCGACAGCTCGAGGCTGCTCTTTCCGAGGGCAAGATCGAGTACACTGAGGATCTCGAGGCCCTTGTCAAGACCATTGAATCCTGCAACACCAAGAAGGATTCCGCCCAAAACGCTCAGGAACAGAGCATTCACATTGAATCCTGCCGCAAGATGGACAAGAAGAGACAGGAGGTCAACGGCGACCTCATCACGGAAGGTATTGTTATCTGCGTGTACGAGTCTGCGTTTGATGTTCTCATCCCCGAATGGGGCTTTGAGAAGCGTGTCCACTGCGACCAGTTGCCGCTTAAGAAGGCTGAGTTCAGGAAGGAGAAGAGGGTGCTCGAGCTCTACTGGGAGAAGGGTGTGCCGAGCTCTGCATACGTACCTGAGGATGAGCGCCCCAAGGCTGCCGCGTCTGTTAGGAACGCGAATGCCATGGCTGCTGCCCGTCAAGCGCAGGAGGCTGAGCGCGTCAAGAAGGAGAGGGAAGAGGCTGCTCGCAAGCAGACTGAGACCGGCACCATTTCCACCGACGATGTCGACGCCCTCTTCGATGATGACGATGACAATGCCTCGGATGTCACCGAGGCTATGGCCGGTGCTTCGTTGGCCGAGAGGCCCACGCAGAGCGTTCCCGGCTCCCCGACCCGATCGGACGCTAAGCCTCTGCAGCGCACCAGGTCCGATTCCAAGGTACCCGCACCGGAGGCTCCCGAGACCCGCTTGTCCAACAAGGAGAAGTACCTCAAGCTTTACAAGCTGCGTGAAGAGGGTGGCGAGTACATCCAGGATGTTACGGAGATGACCAGAGTCCCGGTCATCCTCAAGACTGATCTCTCCAAGAGCCCACCGTAAGTTGACCATTACTTTCTTCAAAATGGAATTTGTGCTAACATGTTGCAGTTGCTTGACTATTCGGTCCCTGAACCCCTATGCTCTGTAGGATGGCGTTTCGAGGTACGGTGTTCATGACAGTACACCCAAAATTGGTCATGGCCCAGAGGGCAAAGAGGCGTTCGGGCACCCTGTGAGACGAAAGGCATGCCGAAGGCATTACGAAGGGAGTAGAAAAGTTTGGGTGAGAGATGGGACGATACACTAAGGACTGGAGTAATTGAAGTATATCTTCGTCCCTGGATGAGTCATTTAGCACAACAGCAGAAATCGAGAGGGAGAAAGGCGGTGGATGAAATAGTAGAGATTAGCGCTCATCAGTTAGCAAAATGGAACATCCAATTACACGTACACGACGTGCAGCGTGATGTGCCTAACGGGAAGGGTTTGCCTAGACAAAATCAGGCACGCAGTGATAGATGACGATGGAGCGATTCACGGCAAGGGGGAGAGCTACACGCTGGATTTTACATATTTTGGATGATTACAAGGCATCCCTTGCAGAGAGTCGCAGACGCCTCGGGTTGGACTCTCGCTCGTGGGCCAAAGGGGGTCGGCAGAGTTTCAGTTGTGATGGTTGACAAGAAAGCCGGTTTGGAAATTTGACGTGATGGATAATGCCGGAAGACGGACTGGGGGACGAGGTTCGGTCTGAAGGGGATAGGACCAGGGAGGGGGGGTTTTGGATCGGAGAGACGGGGGGCCGGGGGGCCCGTGGGGCAGGCAAGGGCAGGTCCAATTCAACACAGAACAAGCTCCGGGCTGCGGAGCAAGCAAGATTGTGGAGACGGAGGAAGGAGAAACTAGGTGCGGCCTTTCCTATGAGGGGGGAACTTCCGTCTATCTATTGAAGGGAAAATCTCCGTCCAACAGGCCGATGACGATGGCCACTTGAACTTCCCGACGGCCCTGGGATCCAAGATACCAGGACGCGCGTGTGGACTACGAATACTAGACGAGACTGATAACCCTTCCACCCCCGGGGCTCCTTGTGTTATGTCTCTCCCTAATCGCAGTGAAGGGTAAGGTAGCAACGGCGAGGGGGATCTGCAACAAGTCCAAAGTTCAGATTACCTGATGTTCTGTGAGATCTGCGCGGCGATCACCAGGTACGTGGGTGGTAGCGTATTAGACTTATTCTCTGCATGCACTGTCTTCTTGTACGACTTCTTGTCGTCCCTTGGAGAGAAGCGTGCCAAGTAAGCTCCGGTGTGATCGTCGTCTCTTTTTCGCTCTGGCACCGTTGCGTGTAAATTGGCTGCGCGGGAGATCGCACACCTTGCCCTTACACCATTAAAAGGGAAAGTGTATCTTACGTGGGTTTGGAGCACGTCACCCTCACATTCTGCCTTCTTTCTATGTCGTTCTTTCTTTCTTGGTGGCTTTCGCTGGCAGAATCTTATCCTGGTGCACTGGTACAGTTCAAACGAAATGTGCTCACCCTCCTTTTTTCTAGCCCATTTATCCGGGCGAGGAACGGCATGAAGATGACCACGCGGTTGCGATACCTGGGGCGTCGGAAAACAATGAGGCTCATCGTTTCTTTCCGAACCGGTCGGGAGGGCCTTGTTTGAGTTGCGCTGCGGGGGCACTTGTTTCCAGTGGCCCGAACGGGACGGTTGAAGTGTCCGAAGACATAGCCCAGGCTAGTGGAAGCTGCCGTCGGCCGCAGGCCGCAGACAGCGACAGCCGTTGAGAAGACAGGTTGAGAAGAAAAGAGAGAAAAAGGAATGCCAGTTGCGTTTGTGTCAGGCGCGCGCATAGAGTGTGGAACTAGTGTGAAGGAAAGGCTCCAGAGTCATGATGTCGTCCATCGCAGCTGGGGTGACGAGACAGAAGAGAAGCGGGGGTCATCCCTTGTGAGACACGGGACACGTTCGAGAAGCAGGGGTTGGCATGCGAGGAGGAGAGGCTTTCGGAAGTTTTTTGTTTGGCGGGCCTGCGGGATGGGTATGGGGCAGGCGGTTTGACGGGCGTGGCTAGCGTGGCACCTTTCCAACACGACTCGGGTCACGGGTAGACGGAATGGAGGCGTGCTTTAAGTTGATCAAGGCCACTGTTCCATTCCAAGAGTCAGCCGGATCGCTCGCTTTGTGTGTGGCTTGCAGTGGGCGATGGGATGGTTTAAAGCCTCGATGGTGGGTTTGAAACGGTGGTGCAAGCCCTGTAAGGCCTTGAATTGCCGAAATAGGAGAGCGTGTTTGAATGGTTTGGACTGGTCTGGTGTGTCCATCCGGTGTCATTGGAAATGGGCCGAAGGTGGAGGGGGAAAGCAGGCAAGCCTTTTGCGTTCCCGTGATTTAGTGTGTTTGTTGACGAGATGAGAGGAGAACGGCAAGTTTTGGCCAAGCTATTGGATGCTTGGTGATCACCCACAGCGACGATAACTTGCAGCCTGATGTCGCACACACATGCGAGGGACAGTGAGCCTTGTCTTGGTGTGACCGCCGAGGCCTGCCCTCGTGGGCGGCTGGACGTGTTCCATGGCTTGGATAAGCTTAAGTGGCTAGTGTATTAGCAGGCCGTCGTTTTGGTGGTAAAATGAGCAGGAAGTTGAGGGGCCGCCTCTTAGGAAGCCTGGGAAGGGGCAGAGGAAATGTGGCGACGGGGTCAGTGCTTTTGCTTCTTGGTTGCAGGAGCGTTCCCTTCGTTCGTGTTGCGGGCCTTGGGATTGGGACGGCGAAACCAAGGGAAACGCGCGAAGAGTTTTCGGTGTTGGCATTGGGCGTTGGCGCCTGCATATGGCCAATTCCGGGGTCTTGTTGCGCGAGGGTTGGAATCGTGACACTTTTTGAATGAAAGAGCAGATTGTTTCCTGCTCACCTCGTTGAGTCAGACGTCGTGTTTGGCAAGATTCGACCCTTCGAGTCAGGCTGGATTGTTTCCTGCGGCTCCCACCCATGGCACGCGTTAGATGGCCATCCAGTCGTGGGCCAGTGCATCGCATTTTCTGTCAAGATCGCGAGGCGTCGATTAGGTCGATTAGCATGTTCAAGATGGCTGCCTCACCACGGCCGGCTCTGCAGATCATGGGCCCTAGACAGGCGGAACGTGACACCCTGGGCGGCGGTTGAAGGGCATGATGCGTTGCTCTCAACCGGAATTTGCAGAAGGTGCATTCGGCAACGTCAGAAGATAGTCGACGCCAGTGGAAATGAGATCTGCTCTTCCGTGTCGCAGACAGCCAGGTAGGAGGCACTTTGGCGTCGCCCTGCGCCGGGGGTTTGGTTGGACGCCAGCGCTAAGCCCATCAACGGCAGCCGGAGGCCGTGAGTACATACATGTTGTGTGAGTGATTGTCTGGTCTGGGTGGTCTGGGATGGACGGGAACAAGAGGCCGGGAGAGGACGCGGTGGAGGAAAGGTTGCCCATGAAGCGCGGTTGAGGACTGGAAAGAGACGTTACCGAGAGAACGTTCCTGCAGATGAGATGCGTGAGGGAACGTACCTTTGCGGGTCTCAGAAAGAATGGGGCATGCCTTGGGTCAGTGTTGTCTAAGCAGGGGTTCTAATGCAGCATCGACCAATCAGACGGCTCGAGTGATGCCAATGACAGGAGGGGCCTGGGCGAGGGCGGACCGGGGTTTCTGACGTGGGAGACGTATCACAATGGTTTCGGTCAACGGCCCGTTCGTGACCCGGGTTGGTCTCTTGCTCTTGGCTGGGGGTCACGATGCAACAAAGTTGGTTCGGCTACATTGCCAAACAGTGGCGAGCACTCCCTCAAGGCCTCTCCAGGTGTCCTTCCTGCAAGCCCCCCCGCCTGGTCCCTCCTGGACACTTCTGGGGCATGCAAGCCTGCAGGCGACGATGGACCCTTGCCTGCAAAATAAAGGTCGTCGGGAAAAAAGAAGCGCAAAAACAAGCTCGGCAGGGGTCGTCTCTGCGAGTAGAAACGGGCTTCATCCCAATAGAGGCCTCTCATTTTCTCACACAACAACGTCCTCAGCGACCGCCCTCCCCTGTCGCTATCCCATCTTTTTTCCACCCCTGATTCCATCTTGTTCGCTTTGCCCCTCTCTTTTCTACCCATCCCGTGCTTCTGATTGGTGCCTTGTCCGAGCGACCTTCTGCCGATTCGTCGAGCTTGTTTGAACGGCAGCGGAAACGAAACAGGCACACACAGCCAAAAGGCCTGCTTACTTACTCCATCGCACCTACGACCCTCCCCTCCTGCCTCCCACTGTCCGGATTCACTGCGAATTCCGTGCTTGGCGTCGCCCGTCTGGCTCTCGGAAGAAGGAAGGGAAGGGGGAGGAGGCAGTAAGAGGCTTGCTGCCATCTGAACTTTCAACCTTGAATCTCTCACCATGCACCCCCCTTGACGACATTGGCCAGGGGCCCCGTCTGCCTCCAAATCCCACTCCCACTCCCACGCCTCTCCTCTTCAGCGCTTCACTGTCTCGTCCGCTAGATCCCCCCTTCCCCTACACGCGCACATACTCCCATACCCCAGGCAAACACTACACTACACGCTTGCCCAGTACGGATACCAAGACCAAAGCCCGCCTCAGTTGCCCAGCGGCAACTCATCACCACCCAGGAGCAGCCTCCTGCTTCCTGCAAGGTACCATGTACCCCGTCCACCGTACCCCTGTCCAGTCCCACGTCTGAAGCTTCGCGGTCGAGCGTATCTTGCTACCCGCATAGTGGGCTCCCGTGTGAACCGACGACGGAAAGAAAGCTAGCCGCAGACAGTCCCCAGCAAGGACCCAAGTCGATCCGACCCCCTCCCGAGTGCCTGATGGCGAGAATGGGCCATGCGCCGCCTGCGGAATACGCCATGGGTGATGGGGGTGGCCATCCATCGATGAGCTCGTGAACTTTCTTTAACTACTTTGTTTCCCTCGTTTGCTTCTCCTACCCCTCTCCTCTTTCCCTCCTCATCCCGTTCACTGTGTGTCTTCTTCCAATCTCCAAAAGCGCTGGTCTGCTTTCCTGGGTCCACCGGTTTTGCTTACACCCTCCTTTCCCTTCGAGACCTCTTACTACGAACTGTCACTCCCTCGGACGACATTTAATTATTCTTGTAATCTTTCTCTTCTCTGAC